AAACTTTATCATGGAATGATATCTTGAGATCATTAGGGCTTAAGTGGTTGGATGGGAGGTGGGGGTGATTCTGGGTGTGTTTGGGTGGGTGGGGGTGATTCTGTGTGTGTTTGGGTGGGTGGGGGTGATTCTGGGTGTGTTTGGGTGGGTGGGGGAGATTCTGTGTGTCTTTATTTTGCATTATTCCCACAGTACAACGAACAACTCCAATTCCCTTTCAAGACAACGGGTATCAATTGATTTTTTTTAAAAAATGCAATTGGAAACACATGAGGTTTCTTTGTAAAATGGTAAAAAAAGGAATTTGGGACAAAAAATAATGAAATAAAAACATTTTGATTAGATGTGAACCATTGTGAATGTGCCATGTGTTGTATATTGTGTATTGTGTGTGTTTTGGAAGCTGTAACCAGTTGAAGATTCCGTTTCCAGTGAATTATTTGTCAGTTACAAATTGAGTGAAATTCAATGATCGGATCATCTGAATTTCATCCCATTTCATCCCACAAATCAGTCATTAAAAAACGTGATCAGTAATAATCATAATTATCATCTGAGGGGCGTGAAATAAATCATCTTTGCTTTTGAAAATTAATAATGATGATAATAAATAATAAATCGATCATCGAGCTGGGACATGTGTCCTGTCGTTTTGTGTGGGAAACGAGTACATGGTCTGTGCAGGTGATGGTCTATAATTGTCAGTAATAATCATAATCATCGTGTGCGCAGGCATGAGACACAGACAAGGCCTTATCAATAATCTTTGCTTTTGACAATATAATAATAATAATAATAATCCTTGCATTTGATATAGCGCTTTTCACGTCGGGAGGACGTCCCAAAGTGCTTCACAGAACACACTGTAAAGTGAATTGACTGTATATTTGTGGGCGAACGCGGCAGCCAATTGCGCACAGCAATGTCCCACAAACAGTCATACGGATTGAAAATGACCAATTTATTATTGTTTTTGGTTTTGGAGGGATTATTATTAGGCTCTGTGTGGAGTAAGGAAACTTGCCCAAGGTTTCGCCCTCTGCCTGGAATTGAACTCAGGTCTCTCACTTGCAAAACGAGTGCTCTAACCACTGAGCTACAGGACTAATAATAATAATAATGATAATGCTAATGATAATAATAATAATAAAATGTTCACTTCCTGAACTCATGTAGAGATTCATGAGCCAATTCCTACCCACTGACCACTGGTTTAAAGAGACACCTCTGGGGTTTTTTTTCGTTTGATCTGCTTTGCAAACACAATATTTTTATTTGCAAACAGCCCCCTTTCCCACCTTTCATCCCAGACCAGGATTTGTTCCCCACCCCAACTTTCTCATTCACTCCAGCTATTTCCCCTCCATGAATTCGTGCCTCTATTTGGAATCTCCCCCCTGTCCCCCTCCCCAATTAAACCCACCTTTGCCCTGAGATCGCTCTGATTTGGTGCTTTGTAACCAACTGAGCATTGCCTTATCGATGTTGTTGCCCTTTTTTGAAGGCAATGAAATTGGCATTTCACTATCGGAGGGGAACACAGTGTAATACATCATCTTTGCTTTTGATAATAATAATAATAATAATAATAATAATAATAATAATAATAATAATAATAATAATAATAATAGCAGCAATTGAGACATATTATAACGATACCGACTATTAATACTCTCTCTGTATTTGATACGATGCCTTATCAGGTCGTCAAGTCAAAAGGGCCTCACAGGAAACTCTGTAAATTGGGGATATTCTGTGATAAACACATATTGCGAATTGTCATTAAATAAATAAATTAGTGAACGAAATATTAATAAATTCGCGGATTTATTCCCTTGTCACCAAGTGCTTTTTTCCCCCCAAAACCCCCAGAGAGTTCCTTAATGCAATGTTACTGTTGTATGTGTGTGATTCCAGGCTCCCCCCCCCCACACCCACACCCCACACACACACACACACCCCCCCCCACACACACACACCCCACACACACACCCACACACACACCCCACCACACACACACACACACACACCCCACACCCCCCACCCCCCCCACACACACACCCCCCACACCCCCCCCACACACACACCCCCACACACACACCCACACACACACACACCCCACACACACACACCCCACACACACACCCACACACCCCTACACACACACACCCACACACACACCCACACACACACCCCACCCCCCCACACACACACCCCCACACACACACCCCCACACACACACACACACACCCCCCTACACACACACACCCACACACACACCCACACACACACCCCACCCCCCCCACACACACCCCCCACACACACACCCCACACACACACACCCACCCACACCCACACCCCTACACACACACACACACACACCCCCACACCCCTACACACACACACCCCCCACACACAACCCCTCCACCCCACACACACACACACCCACCCCCCCCACCCCCCCACACACACCCCACACCCCCCCCCCCACACACACACACACACCACACACACACACCCCCTCTCTCTCTCTGGTTTGAAAGGCTCTGGGGATGTTCTGCAGTGCTTTGGGATGGCATTGGATGTCTCTCCGGATCGCCTTTCCCTGAGGGACAAACCTGTGGTTAATCGGCGTTACTGACCAGGACTCCGGGGGTTATGTCAAAGTGTTGTCGCCAACACAAACCATCACATCACTGAGTGCAAACGGATAATAATCGGATCTGTTGTTGGACACCACGTCAGGAAAGTGTCGGAAACACTGTACAGAGCTGTGATTGAGGTGAGTTTCACAGCAAAAAAACATCCTCTTCGTTGTTGTGCCATTTCCAGTTTACTTTGTTTTAAAAAGGGGAAACGAATTAATGAATTGATTGATTGATTCACGTTAAAATTGTGTCCAAATCGCAGAGATAATTTTGAGTTAAAAAGGAGGGAGTGTGTGTGTGTGTGTGAAATTATCCCGAAAAGATCATGTGAGTACAGAAAAAGGGTCTCACATCACACACCGCGTTATAAGAGAGTTGTTGCGTTTATGTTCACACATAAACGCAAAAACTCTCTTATAACGCGGTCTGAACACAGCGTTATAAGCGGTGGTCTTAAATAATAATAATAATAATAATAATAATACAAATAATCTTTTCAGGATCATTTCACACTCACACTCTCCTCCCAAACTGCCTTCTCACTTTTTTTAAAAAAAACCTCACAAGTCCCTCTGCGATTTAAACAGAATTTTAACGAAATTTGAATGAATTAATTCGTTTTCCTCTTTTTAATGTCTGGAAAAAGTAACATTTCCTGTTGTGTGGATCGAGGGGTTTTAGAATAAAGACATTTACTCTGCATTTGTACCGAAATCAGAGAGATACCCTCTCTCTCTCTCTCTCTCTCTGACTGAAAGATTCAGGCAGTGGATTTCAGCGGAGAGAGAGAAAGAGATACAGAAAGAGAGAGAGACAGAGACGCCCCTGAAAGAGAGAGAGACAGAGAGAGACAGAGAGATAGAGACAGAGACACCCCTGAAAGAGAGAGAGAGACAGAGAGACAGAGATAGTGACAGAGACACTCCTGAAAGAGAGAGAGAGACACAGAGAGAAACAGAAAAAGACAGAAAGAGAGAGAGAGAGGGAGGGAGACAGAGAAAGACTGAGAGAGACAGACACAGAGAGAGTCAAAGACAGACACATAGACAGACAGACAGACAGACAGACAGAGAGACAGAGAGAGACAGAGAGAGAGAGAGAGAGAGCTGCTGTCAATCAGGGGAAACCGCCTCTGTTAATAAGCGGCTCAGCTCTCACTCTGTGTCGCTTCATTCCGTTTGACCACATCCACACGGTTTAAGATTGGAGAGAAAACGCTCTATATATCAGGGAAAACGCTTTTTTAACAAGAAAAACACATCAAGCCTTGAACTGAAGAAACCCTCCCCAAAACAAGTTGAGTGCAGATTCTAATCGATTAGATTTTGTTGAGATTTTGCCATTTATAATCGATAACATAACCTGTGTATAATATTTAATTGGAGGTAACTTTTTTTTTTGTCTGTTCGTTCCCCTCTCCTGGATTTCAGGGAGAATGGGGAGAGGGTGTGATTGAGTTTGTTACTTGTCTGTCTGTCTGTCTGTTTAATTTAAAAATATATATTATTGTTCGTTTAACCCCCAACCCCTACAAACAAAATAACTTAATGTGTTAGAAGTTTGAGGTTTTCAGTGTGTGGGTCGGTTTGACATTGATGTTTTGCAGTTTTTTTTTTGTTGTGTTGTAACTTTTAAAAGAATTTTCTAAATGTCCAGGAAAACCACTTAACCAAAGCTTTTATTTTCTAGAGACAGAGATCTAGTGAGATTCTTACTACTTTTACAGTAAAAATCCTGGGAAGCGCTTTGGGAAGTGTCGAAGTCGTGAACGGCTCCGTATCAAATGCAAAGATTATTAGCATTGAATCCCCGTAATGTTGTTAACAAAAGAGCAATTGTAATGATTAATTATTCATATTATAACCATTATATGGGGAAGACGAAAACCAACCAGAGGTGCCTCTATGTAGGAAGGCTGTTTTACCATCTGCAATGATTATTGAAAGTGTTATTACTTTTCATTACTAATCGTAATATAATTAATTCGTTAATTAATTGGTAATTGATTCAAGTTATTAATACAATAATTATTAAGATACGGGGGGAGTTGAGAAGCAAATAGTAGATGTAGATGCCTCTATTTAGAAAGGCTGTTTGTTTGAATATTTCTTCTGATTGATTTTTTTTTCTGCTGATATCTGGTCTTTAACCCACACGTAAAAACAAAAGAAGTCGCAAAAGAACCCTTTTGGAGTGAGATCTTTCTATTTCTACTGATTCCTCTCTTTTTTTTAAAAAAAAAATTAATTTCAAAATTCACGTCTGTATCGTTTCCGTTTTTTTTTAAAAACAAAACAAAACCCAAACAAACCCCCAAAAAAAAAAAAAAAAAAAAAAAAAAATTGCAGTCGAATGCATTGGTTGGTGGATGACATGAACGCGGTGGATAAGTCCTGTGTGAATCTGTCTCTGGAGCCTAATCACTTTCACGACGTGGTTAAGAGCTCCGGCGCCTCAGCGCGAGTGCACAGCATTGAGGTGATCCTCGGCTACACAGAGGATCAGCCGCTCCTCACCCCAGTGCCCCCCTCCGCCCTGACCCCTCCTCACTGCCCGCAGGACACCGGCACAGCGCCTCTCAGCGACCTCCACGCACAGCCCCCGGCGCTGCTCCTCCTCCCGCAGCACCGACCGCGGAGTGACGGTAAGTTCCCGCAGCGACCGGTCACCGCTTTCGTTGTGTTACGAAAACAACTTTTAACCGCACTTACGTGTGTGGAGAGGGAGAGAGAGAGAGGGGGAGAGAGGGAGAGGGAGAGAGAGGGAGAGAGAGGGAGAGAGGGGGGGAGAGAGAGGGAGAGGGAGAGAGAGGGGGAGAGAGAGAGGGAGAGGGGGAGAGAGGGGGAGAGAGAGAGGGAGAGGGGGAGAGAGGGGGAGAGAGAGAGGGAGAGGGGGAGAGAGGGGGGAGAGAGGGGGAGAGGGGGAGAGAGAGAGGGAGAGGGAGAGAGAGAGAGGGAGAGAGAGAGGGTCTGTCCGTTTAAGGCAATCATTTGGAAAACAGGTTTCCAACTTATTTATTCAACATGTGTTGAATTATCCGCGTGTAAATAATATAATACAATACAATACAATATAGAATGTAATACAATATAGTATCATTGAATTGCTGGATAAGGAAAGAGAAATTAACAGTATTTCTATATGTATTTACTAATACATGTATTAGATATAGCGCAAACGCTGCCTATTACCGATTTATATAATACAATATAATGTATAATACAATATGATATCATTGTCGTTTTAATAATAACGCATTGTCACTTAAAACAAAATGGACTGAAGGGAAAATAAGAATAATAATGCACTAAAATAGAATCTGCACCTATTGGTAAACCCTATTATTGAAATTGTGGACATCCAATTTCAGATTCGACCACAGATACAGATATTTATAGGGAATTAATTATTCCCACCTCACATCCTGCGGTGCTTTGGGAGTACAGCGTTTTGTAATCAGGAAATATTTAGTGCTCGTTATCGACTCTGACCTCAAAGCAAACGAATCGAATTGGATTCTATTATTTTTTTCCCAATTAGTAACTTCATTCAGGTACATGAAAAGTTCGGGTCATGGGCTCATCCGAAGGTTTTAATTAAAACACCGTTAGGAATTAAGACGTTGCAACATTTTAGGGCAAATAGAATAGCAATCGCGAATTACTGGGCAGTTAAAGAGAAATTGACAGTGATTATGCATAAAGATAATATATATTATTTTCCAATACGCCAATGTTGGCGCTATAAATATATATGTATTTACAGTGTATTCTGTGAAGCGCTTTGAGATGTCTCGAAAACATGATAAGGCGCTGTATCAAATCAAAGATTACTATCATTATAATATGAGATCTGTATTAGATGTATATATTGTATATGTAGAGCTAACGTTGGCTAATAGGAAACTGTAATAAAGAGCGGATTATTTCCAGTGAACAGCAGTTCGGGGGAATGGGATTTGGGAACTTGTTGTCGGGAAAATCCTACATTTTCAATTCCAGTGTATAAGTATAAGTATATTAATGCTTTAGTGTCTGAAAGCTGAGTGTGTGTGAGTGTGAGTGTGAATTTGTGTCTCCCTTCCTATCACAGAAATTATACCCTCACACTCACACACCCGGAAAATACACACACACACTGAACAAATACACTCACACACACACACTGAGCAAATACACACTCACACACACACTGAGCAAATACACACACACACACACACTGAACAAATACACTCACACACACAGAGCAAATACACACACACACACTGAACAAATACACTCACACACACACACTGAGCAAATACACACTCACACTGAGCAAATACACACTCACACACACACTGAACAAATACACTCACACACACAGAGCAAATACACACACACACACTGAACAAATACACTCACACACACACTGAGCAAATACACACTCACACACACACTGAACAAATACACTCACACACACAGAGCAAATACACACACACACACTGAGCAAATACACACTCACACACACACTGAGCAAATACACACTCACACACACACTAAGCAAATACACTCACACACAGAGCAAATACACACACACACACACTGAACAAATACACCCTCACACACACAGAGCAAATACACCCTCACACACACACACAGAGCAAATACACACTCACACACACACACTGAGCAAAACCACTCGTGAATATGGCAATTAAACGATCTTCGATAGGATGGCGCACAGATCGCTAAAGCCAACAATATTCTCAGTAAAATCACAGCACAAACGCGAGAGAGAAAGAGACAGAAACATTGCGCTTCACATAAAGCCAAACCGCTGTTTACTGACCCATCACTGCACTCACTTCCCTCCTCCAGTCCCTGTTCTGCGGTGTTCACACACACAGACAGTGACGGGTTTAGGAATATATCTGAATGTCAGTGATGCTATCTGTAAGTTTGCAGTTTTTTTTCCCCTCTCCTGGAAACGGTGCCTTTTCCAACCGACTTCACAATAAATATTGGCAATAAATGTTCACAGTAAATGTGTGTGTGTAACTTTACTAACTCAGGCATTAAAATAGACTCAGGTTATAAACAGCCTCACTCTCCCCAGTGCCTTTGACTGGGGGGAGAGGGGGAGACTGCTTCACAGGAAGACAATAAATGTACGAGTTATTAAAGTTAATATTCATTAATGTCATCAAAAGTCTCTCTCTCTCTCATTTAGGGACTTGTTAGTAACTGACACATTGCATTAACCCTTTGCAGACTGGTAACTGCTCCACTGGTAATTAGAAAAATAAAAGAAATGAATAACCATTTGAATCGAACTATTTGTTGGGGGGATTCGTTGAAACTTTTGCACAGAAGGAACACTGAATAAATATAGTACTTCTTGTACCGGAGGGAGAGAGGTGTGTGTGTGGGTGGGGGGGGGGGTAGAGAGACGGGGAGGGGGAGAGCGAGGAAGGGAAGAGGAGTGGGGGGGGGGGTAGAGAGAGGGGGAGGGGAAGATAGAGGGATAGAGGGGGATAGAGGAAGAAAGAGGGGGGGAGGAAGAGAGTGGGGAGAGAGGGGAGTGTGGGGGTGGGGGGGGGGTGAGAGAGGAGAGAGAGAGAGATCGCGGGATAGAGAGGGGGATGTAGGGGAGAGAGATGGGGATAAAGGGAGGGAGAGAGAGGAGAGGGTGTGGGTGAGGGTTGTTAACTCCAGGTCTGTTTCCAGCTTCAGTTATAAACGTGGCTTTGCAAATTCAGCTCCAATTCTGATTCCCCACATTTAATGCACTGGTCTGAGATTTAAGTTTAAGAGACAGCACAGAGACAGTCAGACACACACAGACAGACACAGAAATACAGAGATAGACAGAGAGAGAGAGACAGACAGACACAGAAATACAGAGATAGACAGAGAGAGACAGACAGACACAGAAATACAGAGATAGACAGAGAGAGACAGACAGACAGACAGACAGACAGACACAGAAATACAGAGATAGACAGAGAGAGAGAGACAGACAGACAGACACAGAAATACAGAGATAGACAGAGAGACACAGAGACAGACAGACACAGAGACAGACAGACAGACACAGAAATACAGAGATAGGCAGAAAGACAGATGGGAGAGCAGATAACATTTAATTCGTCAAACTTCAGAATTTATAAAATGTAACCAAAGCCCAGACTGTAAACCGTGTATATAATCCCCAATCTCTCGCTGCTAATCGATATCCACATAATTCTTTTCACAAATTTTTGTTTCCGAAGATGAAGTCATAATAAATAATTCCTCTAAAAACTTAAGCGAAGCGCTGGTTTGGAGCGATTGAATCAAGCGGAAAAGAGAGTTAGAAACCCTGCTATTTTAATGCAAAACAACTTTGTCTTATTGTATTACAATATAAAATTTTATTTTATTGCCTTACAACGGAAGTCGCTTTAAATGGCCACCGATTAACCTCGGACACCGCTTAAGGTGGACAAACAGCTCTGAATGTCCAGTTTAAGTGGCTTCTACTCTATCAAGCACTACAGTAGATCAGAGTTATAATAAGAGAGTGTGGTTTAAGGCAGGAACCCTGCTGACACTGTGTGTGTGTGTTTGCCCTTCAGACCCCCCGGGTTTTGGGAAGGGTGTGGATGGTGTGAGGGAGGGAGACAGCCCGGGCAGCCAGCACACAGCCCAGGACATGGAGGAGGAGCCGCCCAAGAAGAAACACCGCAGAAACCGCACCACCTTCACCACATATCAGCTGCACGAGCTGGAGAGAGCCTTCGAGAAGTCCCACTACCCCGACGTGTACAGCCGGGAGGAGCTCGCCATGAAGGTCAACCTGCCCGAGGTGCGGGTGCAGGTGAGTGAGAGACAAGCTGACACAGGCAGATAGACAAGTACAGGCAGACAGCCATATACAGATAGACAGACACAGGCAGAGACAGACGGCTACAGGCAGGCAGGTACAGGCGGACAGACACAGAGAGACAGTCAGATTCAGTCAGTCAGATACAGACAGACAGATATAGGCAGAAACAGGCAGACAGGTACTGACAGATACAGAGACAGACAAGAAAATGATAGGCGCAGGTATAGAGATAGAAACAGAGGGGCAGAGAGAGAAAGAGAGAGCCAGATACAAACAGACATCAGTGAGAAGGAAACTGAAAGAAAGACAGACAGATGAGTGATTGAAGCTTGTTTTCTGGTTGAATTGGGGCATTGGTTGTTTTAAAAGATTTTAACATGATTTAAAACTTATCAGGTTTAATTTAACCCAAACAGGTTCCCTCCAGTAAAGGGCAATGTTTTGCAGGAACTCTGCTCTGAAAGTAGTTCACGTGAGTCAGAGTCACCTACTTCTGATTTCTTTATTTAAGAAACTCTTTAGAAATGATCGCATATTAGACACCTGTTCTACTTGTAATAAAATATGTCTTTATTTAGACCTGGAGATTTGTGAGTGATGTGTAATGCATTGACATCACTGAGGAATGAGATATGAGATAAGGCACAAGGTGGAGGGTGAGACCTAACTTTGGATTTGAAAGAGTGTAGGAGGAATGGTAGAGTGAGGGATGTGAGGAGTCCTGCGGAGTGTAGAAGGAAGGGAAGAGGGCGGTGAGGAGATGGTGTGTTGAGTATTAGCACAATCAGGCTGAAGGCAAGAGAAAGAGCGTGATGAATAATAATCATTAATAATAATTGTATTAGATATAGGGCATTTCACATCTTCTAGACGTCTCAAAGCGCTTCACAGAATATACTGTAAAGTGAATTGACTGTATATTTGTGAGTGAAACGCGGCAGCCAATTGTGCACAGCAATGTCCCATAAATAGTCGTGGATTGAAGTGACCAATTTTATTATTTTTTTTCTTGAAAGTTTATTATCAGGCGTGTGGAGTAAGGAAACCTGCCCAAGGTTTCGCTCTGCCAGGAATCGAACCCGGGTCTCTCGTTTGCGAGGCGAGCGCTCTAACCACTGACTCCTATGGGAGCAAGGGGGTGATTTGGAGTCTGGGATCAATAACGGAAGAAAGTTCAGAGCTGTGTCGATAAATAAAGACAGACCAGAAGATTGTGATGTGGAGAGAGAGAGAGAGAGAGGGATCAGGTATCAGGTGATAAGCTGTCTGCTGTATTGCCCAGGAGTGCGAAAGAGGAACTGGAAGAGAGCTGCGGTGATCAAGCCTTGGGAGTCCTTGGGTTTGTTGAGGTTTGCGGGTCGTTGAGAACAAAATAAATGTTTGGGATGAAAGCTTTGAGGAGAAACTTTAGCAGTGGTGGAGAGGTGAGCATTACATCAGAGACCAGTGGAGATCGCATGGCAGCGAATGAGGCTACAACGAGGTAGTTAAAGAGAAGGTCCATCACTTTCACACCACAACTAGAGCTTGTCAACGTCACCTGCATTCCCAGTCAGAGGACAAAAAGGAATATTACAACAACAAATTGCATTGATAGAGCGCCTTTCACCTTGGGAGGATGTCCCAAGGTGCTGAAATTAGTCACTAGAGAAGGAATAAATGTTACTATTCTCTGGCATATGTGTAACTTCACATTTTCATTTATGTCCTCCCATCACTATGAGCAAGTGCGGGGGGGAGGGGGGAGGGGGGGAATGGGGAGTGGGGTGCCTACAGTTGTCCCCATGCTATGAAAGTAGGGAGGCTTCCTCTCCCTGATCACCATCTACTGGCCATTGCTAGAGTGTGTGTGTGTGTATGTGTAGATGGGTTGGGTAGTTTAGGTCTCATCTGTGCTGGTATCTTCCAAAGTCAAATAACTTATACCCACTGTCTGGAGATAACAACAACAACTTACATTTATATAGCGGTCTTCACGATGGAGTCCTGGAGCGCTTAAAGCTCAATCACTTGGTTGAAGTTTCTTTGAGGTTTCTTTGATAAGGTACTTCATAGGTAGGATAATGGGGGTCAACAAAGGAGCAGCTCATAATGATTTTCCTGGGATTTGAATGTCAGCAGTGACTATTGGTGACTGTCATTGCAAATGATGGCTGGAGGATTACTGGAGAGTACTGGTTGCAGCACTCGCCTCACAAGCAAGAGGACCCGGGTTTGATTCCCGGGCAATGCAAAACCTTAGGCATGTTTCCTTACTCCACAAGCCTCTGTTTAACTAGCAGTTTGTCTGGTAGTTTGGTGGATCAAACTACCAGACAAATTGCTTTTAAATAAATTAGTGGATCATTTTTCCAGGAGTAATAATCCCTCAAACAAAAAAAATTATAATTTGGTCAATCCACAACTGTTTGTGGGACACTGCTGTGCGCAATTGACTGCTGCGTTTTGCACACAAAATGTAGAGTCAATTCACTTTACAGTGTGCTCTGTGAAGCGCTTTGAGACGTCTTAACAACGTGATAAGGCGCTATTTCAAATGCAAGGATTATTATTATTATTCCTATACCAATGAGGTTATTTGGTTGTTGGGAGGATATGACAGCTGAGCCTGATCCTACTCACACACAGACTGCTCAATGAGGGAGGGGGAGGGACAGCAGTTTGTGACCAGGTGTGGGAACACAGGCTGATTACTGCCTCCCTATCCCAGACCAATTGTAACCCTGACTACTGCCCTTCTCAGGTCAGGCAACAGCCCAACAACCGGGGATCAAATCCGTGACCCCACAGTTTTAGTGCACCGAACGATGTGTGTAGATTATGTTAATGAGTCGCTGGGATGTGCAGTAATGTAATTAAGATCTGAGGCAGAGAGCAGCGGATTACAGAGTACAGGCGACACTTAAACCTGGAGTATTAGAGTTTGTCGTCACTTCTGCCGCCTCGTGACAGCAGTCACAATAAAAAAATCCATCCCAGAGATTTTTATAGTAGATAGATTTTAGATAAAGGAACCTTCTCTGTTGCAGTGCTCATTTTTATTGGGGAGGGGGTGGTGAAGATTAAATCTTGGGTTCATCAAGAAACTCATTTCTGTTTCAAGCAATAGCTTTCTGGGGGGGGTAATAAAAAAAATTATGGTCACTCAATTTCCTCCCAACAATGGGCCTTATTGCACCCTACAATCCTCCCATTGTAATATTGAGTTATTTCTTAAATGAGTCCAGTGTCCTACTCGCAACCAACCTTCATTGTAACCCCTGTTCTAGGTGTTAATAAAAACATTTACATAGCTACCTTCTTGGAGCACTTGATAACACCACAGAGATATTAATTACTCTCTATGTAAAGAAATACTTCCTGGTGTCCAGTCTAAATCTGGTCACATATTAATAATAATCCTTGTATAGGACCTTTCAGGAGTAAGTCCAAAACTTCACAGGATTTACTGTGAGATGGAGTAACTGTATGTTTATAGGTTAGTGCAGCAGCCCAATTGAGCACAAGCATGAAATGAATGACCATTTTTGTGGGGGGAGTGCTGTGGGATTATTGGCCAGGAAACTGGGAGAAACATCCCTGAGTCTGTGGCTTTATGTATCTGGAAATCTAGTTCTGTGATTATTGCATACATGACAAAGGAGGTTATAAATGATAGAGAAGAGAATAAACTGGTATGGAAAAGGGGATTAGGCTGGGTGAAGACTCAGATCAAGTGTAAACACTGGCATGGACTAGTAGTTAATAATAATAACAATAATAATCATTGCATTTGATATAGCTACATAAAATCCAAAGATTATTATTATAGCGCCTTATAACATCTTCGAGATATCTGAAATCATGCACAGCAGTGTCCCACAGTGTCCCAATTGCGCACAGCAGTGTCCCACAAACAGTCGTGCATTGAGTGACCAAATTTTTATTATTTTTTTATATACATTTATTGAGAAGGGATTATTACCCCCAATATGCATTTCTTCTTCTGACTTTTGCATTGCCTCAGCACTGGATACCTAATCTTTTGATGACATTATTTACCTTTTATCAGTTAGAACACGAATCTCCCCCCGGTCTGGCTCCTGGGGAAGGGCAGCTGTTGAACGCCGGTAACGTCATAAAATATTAACTGCCATTTCCCACCGTTCACATGGGATAATTCGATCAATAATCAGAGAATTTGATCGCAATTGATTCAGATTTTCTCTGGGAAAAATAAATCACTGGACCAGAGAGGGAAAAGAAGGGATCTCACAGAAATGTCGAACATTTGAGGGAGTGAAGAATGAGGGAGTCCCATAGTATAGTGGTTAGCACGCTCACTTCACAGGCGAGAGGACCCATGTTTTTATTCCCGGGCAGGGCAAGTTTCCTTACTCCACACGCCTGTTTACCTAGCAGTAAGTAGGAAACCAGTCAATTGACAGATTGCTTTGGGACACTACTGTTGATCAATTGACAGATTACTTTGGACATTACTATACGCAATTAACTGCTGCGTTTCGTCCACAGTATCTACAGTCAAATCACTTTACAGTATTTTCTGTGAAGCGCTTTGAGACATCTCAAAGATGTGATAAGGCGCTGCATCAAATGGAAGGATTATTATTTATTATTAGAATGTGGAACACAAACAGCTGTTAAACCCAAGCCAGTTATAAAATTGAGAAGGGAATTCGACACTTGAGAAATAAAGATATAATAGGGTGAAGGGAAAAAAAGATTTTTGTTTTTAAAATATATGCAGAAACCCTTTGTTTCGTTTTAGAATCTTCAAACCAAACTAATGAGACTTCCATACCCTCATGGTTTACAGTCGTCTGGTATGGAGTGAGTACTCTCTCTGCAGAAGGAAGGATAATGAATAGCTCTTACATTGGAGAGGCATGAGGTGCAGGTTTCTGGGAGCCAAGATTTGGGGACCCCAGATTGTGCATTTGGGTAAATGCTAGAGCTTAATGAATTAAAACCACGTAGCCTACCGTTCCAAACACTGGCAAGCTTCCTGCAGCTGATTCAGTTAGGACCAGGCATTAAGCCAGGGTGGTCCAACCTTTTGGCTGCTGAGGACCGGATGCCCTATTTGACAAATGTCGTGGGCCGCATAAGCAAATTTTTGGTGTTTTCCTTCCAGAAACATAACATAAAATTTACAGGCTATGGAGAGAATGGATGGGCCGGATTAAATGGCAGGAGGGGGAGGAGGCGTGGGCAGACTTGCTGGGTAATTTGGACCTGGATAGGAGGAATTGCAGCCCCCAATGACTGGTCAGATCCTGTTCGCCGTTCCTCCTAGCCAGGTTGGCTGGTCCAAAGAGGAAGAAGGGAATTACAATGGTTGGGGTGAGGGGAAATAGATAAGCAGGAGGGCAATGGGCCGAATGGCCTCTTTCTGCACTGAAAATTGTACGATTATAATCAATTCAAGCCAAACTAAGATTTGTTTTTAAAATCCTAGGTGTGGTTTCAAAACCGAAGGGCAAAATGGAGGAGACAAGAGAAGCTGGAAGCGAGCACCATGAAACTGCATGACTCTCCCATGTTGTCCTTCAACCGACCTCCAATGCCCTCCAATATGGGAGCCATGAGTAATTCTCTGCCGCTGGACCCTTGGCTGACATCTCCGATCTCCAGTGCAACTTCTATCCACAGTATTCCAGGCTTCATGGGGCCCCCACAAGGCTTACAGGCCAGCTACCCAGGCCACACCTTCCTGAACTCCCCACCACCAATGGCTCAAGCCATGCAGTCCATGGGACCCCCACCGTACCAGTGTGCAACGACTTTTGTGGACAAATATCCTCTGGAAGATGTAGACCAGAGAAGCTCTAGTATCGCTTCATTAAGGATGAAAGCCAAGGAACACATTCAGTCCATTGACAAAAGTTGGCAACCGATCTGATGAAGGCAACAAACATCAGGTAGACAATGTTCACAGCTACCTACCTCCATCTCCACACTGACTTCATGCAATTACTTACCAAGATCCACAACAACAAACACCTGGAATTTGGCATCAACCCAACTTGACATCCATTGAAACTATAAATCCCAGTTGGTCTTAGTCATAAGCCAAAGGTTCTATTTACCTTACTAATGATCAGCCATGGCTGGGAGAGAGACAGTGAGGAAATGTAAAGATAGTATAGCGTCTGCATATTCCCAGTCACCACACAATGCGACAAATTTTGTCTTCCATTACAGTTTTGGTGTAGACATTACTTTATTTGAATCATGTAGATGAGATGTAACTGGTCTTTGGCTTCCATTTTTGTCTTAAGGGTAATTTCTCAAAAGGAACAATACTGGTGTTCATAGATATTTAATACAAGTTGCCACTGCTGCCCAGCGCAGCGTGTATAGTGCTCCCCGACTGGCTCTTTATTCTACGTGAATAAATTCTATTTTGAACTCTGAATGCATCTTACGTGAAGAACATTTTTCCCCTACTCCCAGAGAGTCTTGAGATATTGATTTAATATCTCCACAATGATTAAACTACCGACCATCTCCTCCAGGTGTACTGACTGTGGATTGTGTACAGAGCAGAGGTGACCTACAAGAAGGGAACAAGTTTTTAAAATGGTGATTTTGTAGTTATCAAGATGACACCCAGAGTCAGTTACAGCACGGGTTAGAGACAGAGTAAAGCTCCCTTACACTGTCCATCCACACTCCCAGATCAGCAACAGCACGGGTTAGGTAGAGAAGAAAGCTCCCTCTGCAATACCTAAACAGTATGTCAATCTGAAGAGCATCATTCCACCTCACGCCAAATGCACCATGAGCTGAGATGAGAGAGTCACAAATCAGTGATTGTCACAATCACAAGCGCAGTTTTCTCTCCTAAAAAGATTCTCGCATCTAACTGATATGGGAGCAGTGCTGTTGCTGTCCATCTCAGAGGCAGACCATCATTGAAATCCTGTTAGAATCGTAGAATATTTACAGCACAGAAGGAGGCCATTTGGCCCATGGTGCATGTGCCGGCTCTTTGGAAGAGCTGCCCAATAGGTCCCACTACCCGCTCTTTCCCCATATCCTTGCAAGTTTTTCCTTTTCATTTAATTCTCCAATTTCCTTTTGAAAGTTGTTATTGAATATGTTTCTCCCACCATCAGGTCATGCATTCCAGACCCTAACAACTCTCCATGTAAAACAAATGTGTTCTCCCAATATCATATTCTTCGCTCCACGATTAACAAATGATTAACTGTTCGGTCAACTGCGCATGAGAGGAACTGGAGCTGGTGTGATTTTTTCAATATCAACGCAGGTGCTCAGGGAAAATATTTGGGAGTCAGGAAGATGGGAAAAAAATAACATCAAACATACAACTCCTTCCCTTCCTCATCAGCCTGAGGTCCCATTTGCTCAGGTAGATGTTAAAGATGCCATAACATTATTCAAGAAGAAGGAAAGAGTTTCTCCAGGTATCTTGGCCACTAAACCTCTTACATTGCGGTGCACAAACTAGCTGCAGTGACTCTAAGAAATTCACAGTTACTATGCTTGACACTTGACAGCTATTGTGTATGAAGCACTTTGATGTTGTAGACTCTGGATCAAATGTTTTACCGTATATTGTACATGAAGCTCCAAGCTTGGCCTCATCTAATCATCAACACTCGATTTATCTCATTTTCTCTCCTATTCTTCTTCCTCTGTATACACACTCACACACAGAATCTCCTGGCCCACAAATTCCCCCCTTGGTGTCCTCTTCGTTTCCTCCTTCAAGCCTTCATGCTGTTCTCTGTGGAACAACATTGTGAAATCTTGTTAATGAAAGAAAAACCGGGGTCAGCCAGTGCTTTACAAACAGGAGGGCAGGAATGTAACAGTGCACAAACCCGTCACTAAAGAGGACACAAACAGAACAAAACTGCTCCACACAAAGCTTGCTTCCCATCTCTATTCTCTCACACTGACTCTCCGCTCTGCGGGAGCAGTAACAAGGGGAACTGAAAACTTTCGCACAAATCACTCGGCTTCCATGGACCTGTCAAAACCAGGCACGCTCCAATCACTCAGAGATTTACAGGGGACCTGTGGTTCATTCCCTAATTGCAGCCCCCCCCCTCCCCACCCCACCACCCCACTCCAGCACATGTTAAACTGAAGAAATTAAAGGCCAGGTTTGTTTCAGCTCAGGGACAGCGATCTGAAAATCCTACTCAAGGAAAGTTTCAGACTTGTTGGTATTGAGAAATCATTCACTCCAGAATCAGGCCAGCGCCAAGGTTTGTAAAATGTAGGAGTGAAGATGAGATAATAATAATAAACCTTACATTTGATACGGCACCTTATCTTGTTGTCCAGACTACTCAAAGCACTTCATAGAATATACTGTAAAATGATTCACTGTATATTTTGGGGACGAAACACGGCAGCCAATCGCTCACAGTGGTGTCCCACAAACAGTCATGGCTTGAGTGACCAAATTATTATATTTTGGGGGAATTTTATTCTTGGTTAGCGATCCATCAATTGTCTAAAAACCGGGTTCCTGCTTAATGCTAGGTAAACAGAGGAAGTTGCCTACGGTTTCACCCTGCCTGGGAATCGAACCCGGTTCCTCGCGCGAAGCGAGTGCTCTAACCACTGAGCTACAGGACTCCACGATGAGTCAAAAGCAATGGTTCAGTGACAGAGCTGTTTGGTTTATGTGTATGTTAGTGTCAGAGGAGTGGAAGACTGGTAGGTGAGGGAATTCCAGCCTTTAGCTCCCAGGAAACTAAGTTTTACAAATTCTCCACAAAATCTCTGTAAATTGTCTGTTTGGTGCATTAATCACTTTCTGAAATAAATATTCATTATTCTTGAATGTCCTCATTTAGAGTTTATCTGTTCACCGCCTGTAAACACAAGCTGGTAACCAGTTGTAACTGCGGTCGCAGTGCCAGAACCAGCCACAAGCAGGCAAACCTTACGCAAGTTTCCTTACTCCACACACCTCTGTTTACCCATCAGGAAATAGGAACCCGGTTGTTGGTCAATTGGTGGATCGCTCTCCGCGATTCTTTAAAAAAACCTCCCCAAAAAATAATAATTTGATCACTCAAACTACCGCTGATTGCGGGACACTGCTATGTGCAATTGGCTGCTGGGTTTTGCCCACTTTACAGTATATTCTTTGAAACTCCTTATTTTGCATTTGATAAGGCGCTATATCAAATTCAAGGATTATTATTGTTACTATAAACCAGCGTTGCCTTGACTCCAATGAGCTGAGAAACTGTCACATTGGGTTGTCATGATCTTATCAGAACCCCCAATGGCGGAGCTAGACCCAGTGTAGCCTCCGAAAGCCCAGTGACTATATGTACTGCCGGCAATGAGGAGGTGAAGCACACAGAGCCAACAGGTCTCAGGTTTGATCTGTACTCATGTAGCTGAACTTAGTTGGGGCACTGGAATTGTCCTCAGTGTCCCTGGCCTGGGAAGGGGCGAGAGATAGGGATTCAGGCTTCTCAGCTAAGGCTGTTGTTGTTGTAAAGGAACGTGTGAGGAGGGGCGAAGGGCGGAGAGAGGACGGGATTGGGACTCAGTACTTTGTTTGAGTCTATTTTACGTTCATCATTAAAATAGAATAGGGAAAAGATGTGCAGTGACCAGAGTACCATAGAGGAAGGTGGAAATCCAGACTTACAGACAGTAGATAACTAAATTCTAAAAGATGTGTCATTTTCTCTTCGCACCCCCCAGAGGTACTGACGTATGCTCAGGGATACTTCTGAGGGCACACCCCCCCCACCCCACCCCACATACACACCAAACCCAGGTATCTATTTACTGTGTGGGAGCTTTGTATTGCACTCTGGTCACTGCACATCTTTTCCTTATTCTATTTTAATGATGAACATAAGATAGACTCAAACAAAGCACCAAGTCCCAATCCCATCCTCTCTCCCCCCTTCACCCGTCCCCACACATATTTTTTCTAGCTAGCAATTTGTTTTTTTTGGGGGGTTGGGAGTGGGGTGTCAGCCACCAGGCACAAGTGGAAACAAGTGGAAACCCATCACCATGCCTCAGAGTATCCAAACCTGTGAAGTCGTGTAGCTCAGAGGTTAGAGAACTCGCCTCACGAGGAGAGACCTGAATTTGATTCCCGGCAGGGCGAAATGCTGGGCAAGTTTCCTTACACTACACATCTCTATAGTAGTAAGCAGAAACCTGGTTGTTAGTCGATTGGCGGATCGCTTTTCAGGTGTTAATAATTCCTTCAAAACAATAGTAATTATAAATTTGTCACTTCAATCCAGGACCTGTTCAGAACATAGGAACATAGGAACAGGAAGAGGGTGTTCAGCCCTTCGAGTTTGTTCCACCATTGATTAGATCATGGCAGATTTGTACCTGAACTAATTCTTTCAATTCTAGTTTCCCGCTTTCTCCCCATATCCCTGGATATCCTGACCTACCCACAATCTATCAACCTCACTCTTAAAGGTGTGCATAGATCTAGCATCCACAGCCTTTTGGGAGAGAGAAATCCAGATTTCTACCACCCTTTGAGTGAAAAAATGCTTCTTAATTTCACTCTTAAATGGTTTGTGGGACGCTGCTGTGCGCAATTGGCCGCCATGTTTCGCCCACAAAATATACAGTCAATTCACTTTACAGTATATTCTGTGAAGCGCTTTGAGACCTCTCGAAGACGTGATAAGGCGCAATATCAAATGTGAGATTATTATTACTAGAGTAAACCAAACTGAGAATTCCATACATCCCACCTACACTACGAAAGTCCAGAGATAGATTGTTGGAATAGAATGCGAACTCTCTCCCTGGAGAGACGCATTCCTGTTTACCTAATTCCAGAAACCATTAGGCGCAGGTTGGCAAGAGCCAAGGCTTGGGGGAACCTCAGAGTTAGCAATTGGGGGCAGGTATCTGAGGCTCATTTTCCTTCTCCCAAACCCAGAGGCTAAATGCTGCTGTGGTTCAAATTAAAAAATAAATAATCCTAACATTTGCTACAGCAATTTTCACACCGGGAGG